TACAAAGTATTAATCAAACCCATCAAAGTCATCATCCTCTGTTATCCTCAGCATTCCTCTGAATAAAACAGCTGCGCTAAATCAGACATGCCAGTTTCCCCTTCTTCGCTGTCAGTCACTTTCCGTGCAGCGCAGCTCCTCAGAAATAATGCCGGCTTTTGCGAAAGCTTGAACAACAGAGCCAGCAGACACGTTAGTCCATCTACAATCCATCCGCAAACGGTGGCGTAACTTGCACGGCGCTGCCTTCCATTTATCATGAAACTGTGGTCTCAGTCTGTCATCCATCGCTCCCACGCCGCTCGCAGCCTTACTGTGAACGGCCGCTTAACACCGATGTCGAGCGGTGGAAGTTCCTTTGTCAGACCCCCGGGATAACGGCGAGCACAGCGTTCATTTGATTCATCTTTTTTTCACATCGGCTGTGAGATGGGCACGCAGCGATGGTGATGCGTGGAAAAAAACACCTAGTCTTCTCACATACACCTGTCTCAGCCACGCATCCACCCAGCCTTTTCATTTGCGTTAATATCATATGTCATCAGAGCGCTGTGTCTGTCTCGCTGCCAGCTCCCAGATCAGCTTCTCTGATTGGTTGATGCGGCGCGTCCAGCAGCAAAACTTCAATTTTTCCATCTGAGCAGCAGCAGCACGTTGGCAGTGCGTCAGATGCTTAAACGCCCCCGACGTGCTGCGCCAAAACGCGCTGCAGGACCTTTTGCTGCACCTATACGCGCGTCAACCATTGACTTTGCATGTAAACTCGCTGCTTCTGCTGCACCTGCTGGGTCCGGTTCACACCGATGTCGAGCGGTTGAACAGCGAGCACAGCATTCATTTGTTTCCCCATGTTTTTCACATCAGCTGTGAGATGGGCACGCATGGTGTTACATATTAATGGTGATGAGTGGGAAAAAAACAGCTGGTCTCCTTACATTCAGCCACTCTTTCATCATCTCCTCAATGAGGTGGTCTCAAAAGTCGCAGTTACAACACACATAGGGCGCACCGCACCATAGGGCGCACAGCACATTTTGAGGGGAAAAAAAGACGTTTAAGAGCGCCTTATAGTCGTGAAAATACGGTAATAAAAAGACCTTTATCAAAAAAAAATTTCATTCAACATGCGTTTATTTTTTTTTATAATTAAGTGTTACACGTGCGCTAAAAAGTTTCAGCCTGCCATCATAATATAATTTCTAATTACATTTATTTGTTGGTTGTATTTTTGGTGGCAGTTAATTGTATGCTTATTTATTTATTGAGCATTTATTTATTTTTGTATTTATTTTTAAATATGGCAGAGTTGGTCCTCCATATACAGCTCTATCTACAGCATATTTACATGCAGGAAATGTCCCTTTCATGTTGCCGTAACTGCTGTATGTCAAGTTACTGAGGAACAAATGGGGTAAATGTGTGTTCAGAGTAAACATTACATAGATGTCCAGTACCTTGTTCGGGTGCCTTGACCCATTTATTTCTACTGTGTAGTTCTGCTCACTTTAGTACAGCTCAGTCCATAGATCTCTGATGGGGAACTTTTTCTTTCTATAGTTCTATAGGGGGGGGGGGGGGCTGCTCTGAATGCATCTTTGATGTTAGAGTAAACCAGGTCTACAGTGTTTTCACCCAGAGTTGCAAAGTTTACATGTTGGTAAAAATGAGGGAGAACAGTCTTCAAGTTAGCCTGGTTAAAATCCCCAGCAATGATGAAAACACCCTCTGTGTGCAGATTGGAGATCAGAGATAGCCTGGTATAGAGTCTTCATGGCCTCTTTAGTGTTAGCGCTGGGGGGCACATCAACTCTCTGGGCAGATAGAACGGCCTGCAGTTAACAGTCAGAAACTCGATATCAGGAGAGCAGAAGCTGGCGTCTGGTCTAGCGTTCTTACACCAGCTGTTGTTGATGTAAACACAGCCCACCACCCCGAGTATTACCACTTAGTTCTTTGTTCCTATTGGCGCGGTATAGAGTTAGCCCCTCCAGGTTAATAGCATTGTCCTGTGTTGCTGGATACAGCCATGACTCTGTCAGAATGATGGCACAGCAGTTACATATCTCCTTTCTTGAAGACAGTTCCAGTCAGAGATGATCCATTTTGTTATCCAATGGGTGGACTTTGGAGAGCAGGATTGATAGAAGCGGAGGTCTGTGGGGATTCCTCCTTAGCTTTGCAGTTAGCCCCCCTCTGCATCCTCGCTTTCTCCATCTCGCACATCTCTTACTTCGACAGTTACGTTCCTCTGTTGTTTTGTTTACATCCATCCGTAGCACTCCGCAGCTTTTTAAACAGTCAAAAATGTCTGGATTTAAAACATTGTGAGGAAATACTGTTATTTCTTCACATTCTATGCCGTATGTCAGCACAAGGTCCAAAGTATGAAGGTGAGAATGTGTGGGACAATTCACATTTTGAACAAAGCCAATAGTGTCTAAGATAGCATTAAAGGCTGCTCTTAAGCTATCACCTTCAATGTCAGCGTGGATGTTAAAATCTCCCACCACGATGACCCTGTCAGTTTTCAACACCAAATCAGAAAGGAACTCTGAAAACTCATCTAAAAATTCAGAGTAAGGACCTGGTGGACGATACAAAGTTACAAAAAGAAGAGGTTTTCTTGCCTTGAAATTTGGATCAGGGAAATTAAGGGTTAAATGTTCAAAAGAGTTGTAGGTATTCTGTTTTGGGAGTAATCAGTAAGTCAGACTGGAAGATTGTTGCTACTCCTCCTCCTCGCCCAGAACTTCTGGGGATGTGAAAATTTAAATAGCTTGAAGGAGTTGCCTCATTTATGCTCACATAATCCTCTTGCTGCAGCCAGGTTTCTGTAAGGCAACACAAGTCAATGTGATTATCACAAATCAAGTCATTAACTAGCAGACTTTTAGAGGAAAGAGATCTTATGTTAAACAGACCACATTTAATTGTTTTAACTTTTTCCGCAATTGGAGTTATTTTGATTTTAATTAGATTATCATGATTTACTCCTTTGGGAATCTTTGCTAATTTATTAGATTTTGGTCGTGGGCAAGACACTGTCTGGATGGAGTAAAGAGTGGGTAACAGTAGAGAAGCTGCAGAGATGTGTGTTAAACTACAACTCTGCTTCCTGGTCTGCACCCTGGGTGGTCAGGGTTTTGGAAGACTAATAAATGTGGCCAGATTCCTAGAAAGAAGAGCTGCACCATCCAAAGTGGGATGGATGCTGTCTCTCCGAATCAGACCAGGCTTTCCCAAAAAGGATTGCCAATTATTAATGTAGCCCACGTTGTTTTCAGGACACCACCTAGACAACCAGCGGTTGAATGACGACATGCGGCTAAACATGTCATCACTGGTCAGATCAGGGAGGGGACCAGAGAAAATTACGGAGTCCGACATTTTTTTGGCAAACTTACACACCGAAGCAACACTAATTTTAGTGACCTCCGATCGGCGTAACCGGGTGTCATTACCACCAGCGTGAATAACAATCTTACTGTATTTAACCTTATCCTTAGCCAGTAGTTTCAGGTAGGATTTGATGTCGCCCGTTCTGGCCCCCGGCAAACATTTGACTATGGTCCCTGGTGTCTCTAATGCCACGTTTCTGACTATGGAGCTGCCAATCACCAGAGTGGGCTTCTCAGTGGGTGTGTCACTGAGTGGGGAAAACCGGTTAGAAACATGAACGGGTTGGTGGTGACCAGTGGGCAGAGATCCACGACTACGCCTTCTGCGTACAGTTACCCAATCGCCTGGCTGCTCAGACACTTTTGGAGGACAGCTACGTGGGGGGCCTACTTCAACAGCCTGAAGCCTGGATTCTAACTCTGACACCCTCGCCTCCAAAGCTACAAAAATACTACACTTATTACACATCCCATTATCACTAAAGGAGGCAGAGGAATAACTGAACATCTGACACAGAGAGCAGGAGAGAGGAGAGGAAGAAGGAAGAGCTGGAAAAGAGTCAAGGGAGGGAGAGAGAGAAGCCATAGCAATGCTAAGCTAGCGCTAGCCTAGGCTAGCTACTCCTTGCTATCAGAAATAAAACCGTGTGAAACTGACAAGTGCTCAGTAGAAAAGTGCAGCAGAAGGTGCTATGTTTTAAAGTAGTCAGTTAGAGTTACTTAGATACAGAGATATCACAGAGAAAATAACTTCGGGTGGAATTCCTCTGGACAGCTTCAACAGCTGCACACTCAGTTAATCCAAAACAAATAATCTTGTTCAGCATTAATAGTGCATTCAGCACATATAGAGGGGCGGGTTCAGGTTAGCAGACCAATCATAACCATGAGCGCAGAAGGAAGAGCGCCATATTTCTCAATATTTTGAAGAGGTCTCCTCCCATTATAGCTAAAGGTGTCCAGTAGTTAACAGTCACACAACAGATTTATTTTAAAATTTGAGAGAAGAAACAGTAGAAAGTCTCTGACTGATGCAATATCCTGTCCCTGTAATGATTTCAAATAAAAAGTCCCTGGATGATATTTCATTGATTGGTCATGTACAGACATTTGTATGTTATGATAGAAATAGATGTTCAGATGCTTATTTTATCAATGAATATAAAACAAGAAGAATTTATGCCAAGACGGATGAGAGATATTAAAATTGGTTTAATTATTTAACATTGTTGTCTAAATGGAGATCAAGGGTGGATGGTCGTCCCCCATGATGTTTTAACACTTCAGATGGCAGTAAAACATCAATTATTAAATTGTTTGGAAAACTAATATTGAGTTTGTGTGCTGGGAAAATGAAAGAAAAACACGTTCTGTTCAGACATAATCTAAATTTTAAAAGATAAACGTGAAGGTCCAATCCTTATACTGTAATGTACAAATTGAAATTTCTTTTTTGTATACACTCTGTGAATACAGAATTACAATAAAAGTTGTCTAAGTCTAAGTTGCAGTGCAGGCTGGGAGATATAGTTCCAGTCTGTTTTCATGTAATTATCAAGTGTCCTTGTTTATTACTGTTTTCTGCTGTGTTTATCTTTCCAGACCACCTTCAGGGTTATGTTGGAAAACAGGAGGATTTCTATGACCAGGAACTCTGTAAACAGGAGAGGAATTCCAGTTTGGACCAAGAGGAACCAGAAACTATGCAGATAAAAGAAGAGAAGAAAGAACCAGAACATCCCTGGACAAAAGAGAAAACCCTGAAGCTCCCCATAAGTGAGCAGGAAGAGCAGCTTTATGTGATTCAGGATATTGAAGAGAAACCTTCCCCATGTTTGACACGGGGAGAAAACTTTCTAAAAAGTGAAAATTTTATGGTTCAAATGAGAACTCACACAGGTCAGAAGAGAAAAATGTTCACAGCGAAATCTAGTCTTGATAGACACATCAGAATTCACAGTGGTGAGAAACCTTTTGAATGTCTTTCCTGTGGAAAATGCTTCAATTGGAAATCTGATCTTGATGCACACATCAGAATTCACAGTGGTGAGAAACCTTTTTCCTGCACGATTTGTGACAAAAATTTTACTCAAAAAAGTCATTTGACTAGACACATGAGAATTCACACAGGTGAGAAGCCTTTTGAATGTCTGTCTTGTGGAAAACGCTTCATTCAGAAATCTAGTCTTGATACACACATGAGAATTCATACAGGTGAGAAACCTTTTTTATGTCTGTCTTGTGGAAAACGCTTCATTCAGAAATCTGATCTTGATACACACATCAGAATTCACAGTGGTGAGAAACCTTTTTCCTGTACTATTTGTGACAAACAGTTTACACGACAGGGTTATCTAAATGAACACATGAGAATTCACACAGGGGAGAAGCCTTTTGAATGTCTTTCCTGTGGAAAAAGCTTCACTCGGAAATCTGATCTTGATGCACACATCAGAATTCACACAGGTGAGAAACCTTTTTCCTGTACCTTTTGTAATGTGAATTTTACTCAAAAAAGTCATTTGACTAGACACATGAGAACTCACACAGGTGAGAAGCCTTTTGAATGTCTTTCCTGTGGAAAAAGCTTCACTCGGAAACCTCATCTTGATGCACACATCAGAATTCACACAGGTGAGAAGCCTTTTGAATGTCTTTCCTGTGGAAAAAGCTTCACTTGGAAATCTGATCTTGATGCACACATCAGAATTCACAGTGGTGAGAAACCTTTTTCCTGCACGATTTGTGACAAACATTTTACTCAAAAAAGTCATTTGACTTATCACATGAGAACTCACACAGGTGAGAAGCCTTTTGAATGTCTGTCCTGTGGAAAAAGCTTCACTCAAAAATCTGATCTTGATGCACACATCAGAATTCACACGGGTGAGAAACCTTTCTCCTGTACTATTTGTAGCAAACAGTTTACACGACAGGGTTATCTAAATGAACACATGAGAATTCACACAGGGGAGAAGCCTTTTGAATGTCTTTCCTGTGGAAAAAGCTTCACTCAGAAATCTAGTCTTGATACACACATCAGAATTCACACAGGTGAGAAGCTGTTCTCCTGTACCTTTTGTAATGTGAGTTTTACTCACAAAAGTAGTTTGACTAGACACATGAGAATTCACACAGGTGAGAAGCTGTTCTCCTGTACCTTTTGTAATGTGAGTTTTATTAAAAAAAGTAGTTTGACTAGACACATGAGAATTCACACAGGTGAGAAGCCTTTCAAATGTCTGACCTGTGGAAAAAGCTTCACTCAGAAATCTGATCTTAATACACATCAGAATTCACACAGGTGAGAAGCTGTTCTCCTGAATGGTCTGTGAAAAGGGTTTTAAACAAGAAGGTTTTGGAGTATTAAGATGACATTTATTCATGCATGATGTTTAATGATTTATGTTTTTAAAAAATATAAAATCATTGATGAACGAGCAGCAATAAAAACCTCATGGATTGTAAAAATGTGTTTCTTTATCTGGTTTCATATAAATTAGAAACAATCTTTTTCCATGTTTTCTCTGATATTTTCAGCCAAACTAAAGCTGTAAAATAAATAGTTTAATGGCATTCACCTTCTGTCTTCTCCAGTCTTTCCTGTTGCTCCTCCGTCAGCATTAATCTGTTTGCTTTTTAGAGCCTGAGTTCAAATCTGGCCATTGGATAAATCCTCCTTTGCTTGTTGGAGAACTTAGATCAGGAAATAATGTAGGTACGTATTCTGGCCCAGTTGGTTTGGCACCTGATAAAACAAGTGTTTCAGTTGCTATAACTGTGTGTGTCCAGAGCCGCTACAACCAAGCAACTAGAGGAATGAAGGATCTAACTATGGCTGTGTTCACAATGCAGCCTGAAGGGAACCAAATCTGATGTTTTTATTTATTAAAAATCATTACAAAATGCCAAAATGAAAGTTCAGCTTCACAGATGAACTCCAGCAAACATTTTTAGTCCAGTGGGAGGCTGAGTGCACCGTGTGCAAAGCTGGCTCATTAGTTTCAGTGTCTAATAAAGGTGCTGGAGATCTCAAAGCTCACATGGACACTGAAAAACCTGAAAAAGCTCTGAGAGGTGAGAGTTATTCTGCAAAGCTGACTGAGTACTTTGTTAGACCTGGGAACATTTGTTGAAGCTGTATTTACTAATACAGAAGAGGTCATGTTTAGAACATGATTTTATTCATGTATTTTAATAGAGAGCTATAATTTTGTTACCGGTTGTTACAAATTTCGTTTTACTACTAAGGTTATTTTTGTATCATTTAGGCATAATAAAGCTGTTGATGAACCTTTGAGAAGCCTGTCTGAATCCGTCTGGAGGCTGGGCAAAGTGTCCTCTTTATGGAAATCTAAATATGCTCACCCTAATATATATACCTATTCTAAAAGAATTAGTTCTGTAGTTCCCATTTTTAAGCAAAGTAAAAGGAGACTGACACAAGAGGGCAAACAAGAAATATCTAAGAACTCAAATACAGTCAAAAATACCTAAAACATAAGAATGGAAATAAGACCAATGAAAACTCAAATGAAACTTGAACAAAACCAAAACCCTGACACCTGCGGACTAAGGCCTCCGTCTATGGGTCATGCTCACTAACCGCTGCACCACCTGCACGCCCAAGCTGGCTAAACTTTAGGAACATTGTTTTATTGCCGCTATCTGACACAATCATTTTATTTGGTTTAGTAAGTGAAAATAAGACTCTTGAACATTTGGGAAATAGTCTTATAGTGATTGGAATATTCTTTATCCATAGATGCAGGTATTTTAAAATAAAACCCACTTTTAGCCATTGGAAAATGACTTTAATTTATATCACAAATCTCTAAGACTGACTAAATCCAAACCTGCTGTCAAATTATCATCCTTGTTGGAACACTTTGATTTAATATAAGACTGCACTTTGTTACTATTTTATTATTTTACCATAGCACTGTTTTTGTTATTTCATTGTGGTCATAATTCAAGTGTAGAAGTGATGTGATGTTTATGGTATCTTGTGTTTGAATTATTTTAAGGTCTTTTATTATTTATTTGCTTATGGTGCAATGATGCTCTATTTTATGGTTGACTGGTTAGACTTACCGTATTTTCACGACCATAAGGCGCCCCGTACTAAAAGGCGCACTCTCAGTTATGTGTCCCATTTCTGTATTTAACACACACATAAGGCGCACCGGACTATAGGGCGCGTTTTTTATATACAAGTAAATGTCCTCTACTACCTTTAAATACCTCTACTGCGTATTTAAAAATACAGCGGGGGCAAAACTGAGTATGACTGTGCTTTATTCATGTATTTATTACAAAGTATTAATCAAACCTGGGTGCTGGCCATGAGACAAACACATCGCAGATGACACAGCGCTGTGATCACTCCTAAATTAACTTAAAATCCTGAAACCTGCCGACGGAATATGTTCGCTTTTATTACCGGTATCCTTGTGCCTGCAGCTAAAATTATTTAGATGAAAAACACCTGTCAGCAGCCGCGGTGAACCTGGAGGCTGCCCAGCCTAGAGGCTGCTGATGAAAGGATTCCTCCTGTCGGTGCACTGCTGGTATGTGGGGGTCTGAGCGCCTCCGACAGAAATAGATAATCTGGATGAACTGACTGCAATTATTAAGTTTTCAGGTGGACTTTCTCAATTAAAAACATATTAAAACTACTTTATTCCCACTGATCACAGCAAATATAGCTGCAAGATTTAGATTATTTTGATGAAAAAACACCTGCCAGCCGCCGCGGTGAAGAGGAGTAGACCCGCCCAGAGGCTGCTGTTGAATTAAGTTTTCAGGTAGAAAAATAGAGCGGGAGCAAAACTGAGTATGATTGTGCTTTATTCATGTATTACAAAGTATTAATCAAACCCATCAAAGTCATCATCCTCTGTTTCTGAATTAAACAGCTGCGCTAAATCAGACATGCCAGTTTCCCATCTTCGCTGTCAGAGTCACTTTCCGTGCCGGGCGGCTCCTCAGAAATAATGCCTGCTTTTGCGAAAGCTTGAACAACAGAGCCAGCAGACACTTTAGTCCAAGCATCTACAATCCATCCGCAAACGGTGGCGTAACTTGCCCGGCGCTGCCTTCCACTTATCCTAAAACTGTGGTCTCTGTCGGTCATCCATCGCTCCCACGCCGCTCGCAGCCTTACTTTGAACGGCCGCTTCACACCGATGTCGAGCGGTTGAAGTTCCTTTGTCAGACCCCCGGGATAACGGCGAGCACAGCGTTCATTTGATTCACCATGTTTTTCTCACCGGCTGTGAGATGGGCACGCATGGAGTCACAGATTAACTGCGATGGTGATGCGTGGAAAAAAAACACCTGTTCTCCTCACATACACCTCCCTCAGCCACTCTTTCATCATCTCCTCATCCATCCAGCCCTTTTCTTTGCGTTAATATCATATGTCATCAGAGCGCTGTGTCTGTCTCGCTGTCAGCTCCCAGATCAGCTTCTCTGATTGGTTGATGCGGCGCGTCCAGCAGCAAAACTTCAACTTTTCCATCTCGAGCAGCAGCAGCGCGTTGGCAGATGCTTAAACGCTCCCGACGCGCTGCGCCTGCTGCTCAAAACGCGCTGCGGGACCTTTTGCTGCACCTATACGCGCGTCAACCATTGACTTTGCATGTAAACTCGCTGCTTCTGCTGCACCTGCTGGGTCCGGTTCACACCGATGTCGAGCGGTTGAACAGCGAGCACAGCGTTAATTTGTTTCCCCATGTTTTTCACATTAGCTGTGAGATGGGCACGCATGGAGTCACATATTAACAGCGATGGTGATGAGTGGAAAAAAAAACACCTGGTCTCCTTACATTCAGCCACTCTTTCATCATCTCCTCAATGAGGTGGTCTCAAAAGTCGCAGTTACAACACACATAGGGCGCACCGCACCATAGGGCGCACCGCACATTTTGAGGGAAAAAAAAGACGTTTAAGTGCGCCTTATAGTCGTGAAAATACGGTAGACAGATTTATTTTGTCATTTTGCATACACGAGTGTAAACAAAAAGAAATTTTGTTTAAAACAGCTCTAGCCAATTTCATTTTTTGAAGTGCAGCCTTGAGAACAGTAATATAAAATAGTAATATAAACATATGACTCTATGTTTACAGTTCTAACAATGTTTTTTCTTTTTAAAATAAATTTAATAACTCATTTTACGCAACAGTTCATCAGTCTGATGGCGGTGAGGAAGAAGCTGTTGCAGAACCTGCTGGTCCTGCATTGGATGCTGTGAAGCCTCTTCCCAGAGGGCAGCAGGGAGAACAGTCCATGGTGGGGGGGTGAGGGGTCATTGATGATGTCATGGGCTCGGGACACGCAGCGCTGGCATGAGATGTCTTTAATGGAGGGAAGAGGAGCCCCCATGATCCTCTCTGCTGTTCTCACCTTCTTCCAGTCTGAGGCGCTGCAGCCTCCACACCACACAGTGAGACAGCTGCTCAGAACGCTCTCTATGGTGCTTCTGGAGAAGGTGGGGAGGATGGGGGGGGGGGTGGGCTCTCCTCATCCTCCGCAGGAAGTCCAAGCGCTTCTGGGCCCTTTGGACCAGTGAGGTGGTGTTTCCAGTCCAGGTGAGGGTGTCTGTGATGTACACCTCCAGGAATTTGGTTACTGTCTGACTATGGAGAGATATTTGTGCCATCGGTTTGAGCGCGCAGGAACCAATCCGAGCGCGCAGTGAGACAACGCGCTCGCGCGCAAAACCGGTCTGGCGCGCGCTCAACTCTGAAAAACCCTCTCAACACACTGTTCTCGCGCTCAGTTTCATCTCTGCTCGCGCTCGACCTGCTCTCTCCGCGCTCAACACCAGCTGTGCGCTCGGCAGTTTCTCCGCTCGCTCGACTCTCTGCGCTCGCAACTTCAGCAATGTATGTAAATGAACCAAACCATCAGCCAATCACGCTCAGCTTCTTTTCATCCAATGAAAGCATTCATTCCTTCTTCTTCTTCTTTTCTATCATGGCGGATCACAAAGCAACTTTAAGGTGTATACCGCCACCTACTGTTCATGAGTGTGTAGCAACATTGTTTTACATCTATTAAATTCTATTTTTTAATTTTGTATTCTAATGATAAATAAATAATGCTTTCCTTAATCTATAAATATCCTTCATATTTCCTTTATTTTCCAATAATCCTTTAAGACTCCATTCTTGGCCTGTCCTTTCAACGACTCTTCTCAATTTCTCCCTTTTGTCATGTTTGGCTTTAGGTGCCGCGCCCACATGCAGAAACACACTCGGGAAAACAGGCACAGTCTCAGGGTCTTTATTAACAATTAGACAAACAGATCACAGAGATTATGTCAACCAAAAACCACAAGAAATGGAGCGCTGCCAGGAAACCGGTCTCGTCTAAGGAGGATAGAGAAGAGGTTAGAACGCGGAGAATCTGGAGGAAGAAACCAACGGATCTGAGCTTACCACAGAGCGCGGACATCGGACCGGGAGGGAACAGTGAGAACTCGGCGCTGCCTGATGGTGATGTGACAGGCGTGGCGTGACCAGAGAGCGGGGGAATGAGGAGTTGTCCGAGCAGCCTCCGGAAATCAGAA